TAAATTTTGATACAATCAAATGTTGAACGTTTAATTTATATCATAAATGATTATATATTGGAAAAAAAATTAAATTTCCAGCTTATCATTTTATATAGTTAATTCTGTAACTAACGTATTCTAAAAGTTGGAGGTGAATTTTGCAATAAAGGGTGTAAAAAGTCATGTAATAAAATCTAATCAGGGTGTATTAATAGCAGGATAAATGCACCATTATATTTGGCATTTGCGTTTTGTCAATTTGACAATACGTTTTGAAATCAGGGAATTAATGTGCCTAGAAAGATATGGCAAAGCTGTTTACGATGATGTTAATTTTTTTTACGTATGTACATATTATGCGTTTTACTAGGTTCACGTTTTTGGTAATGATGACAAAGTAAGCGAGTGTTTTTACCTCTTAAGATTTTTGGTCTCATAATTACCTACATTTCAGATAGATGTACATATTGATATTTATAATAATTTACACTTCTTTTCAGGAACTTTAAGATGTATTTTTTTAAGGTAAAACGTGTATTAATGATTTTTTTTATATATTTTAGTGTCGTATAAGTAGGAGTAAGTGCGTTTCTCATCTTTCGGAGAGTTTATAACGTGTCTTACTAGTAACCTAAGTTGTATTGATTAATATGCAGCACAATAACCTAGACAGTTTTTTAAAAATTTAAAGAACCATTTTTACTTACCAAATTGATACTGGTCTAGACATTCGCTGAACGATTGTCCAAAAATAGTAAAACATTGGAGTTAATTAAAAATATTTTAATGAAGAATTACCTCCTGTTTATATAAGTACAATCTTTTATGCGAATTACCTACAATAATTAAGTATTAAAGTGTTCTAATAAACTTTTGAATTGTTTTAATAAAAACATTTTTGTAAGTACGATTACACATTTTTGGACCATTTATCGTTGATTTTTGTTTTTTAAGAACTCCAGTACGTAAGATAATAAATGTTAAAAATTATGAAATAAGGCGTAATACATAGATTCCTGAAATTCTAATTTTAAATGTGGGTATAAATGTTTTTTAAATGTAAAATTGGTTGATATAATTTTTATAAAACTGAATATTATAGTTAAAAAAAAAATAATATTCATATAGATCATTTATCAAATACATCACTGTTTCTATTTTTAATGAACAATGAATTTTTAAATGTAGATCATTTTGGTAGCGTTACACAATAATAAAGAACTACATTTAATTGTGACTTTTATTTCACTCTTTGCCAATTAAAAATTTCAGGAAGTTTATCTTTATTAAAAACTGATTTTAAAAGGCAAAATACGTTTAGGAGCAGTATTCCACATAAAGAATGACAGATATATCTTTATATTTACATGACAACAATAAATAAAATAGTCAAGTCGACACGTTTAATTTTGCTCTTTAAGTTTTATAAGTTTTAGTATGGAAGCAGTTAACTAAAAATTTCGAAAATAACACCATTGGAAAGCAATTATAAAAGCAATTTGATTTTAATGCTCTCAAACATGTCCAGACAACATATTTGCTAACTTTCCTTTTGCTCAGACACGCGTGTTAAGGACTACAGAGTCAGACCATGACCCTCAATTATCAACTTTCCTAAATCATGAGCGCTCCATATTAGGAGATATAACCCATTTGTGTTTACAGAATCACGCCACCTGGTATTCTGTAATATTGACCACTAACTTTGAATGCCTGTTATATAAATATATAAAAAATATACATAAATAATCAACAAAAAATGCTTACATTAAAACAGTTAAACTTAGCAAAAAATGTCAAATTCCTATTGTAACCAATTAATTATTCTAAAATTACAAATATTTTGAACTGTTTTCTCTTCTACCAAGACTTTTTCCTTCCTTTTGCAAAATTTTTGTAAATTCTTGGCAAGTTTCAGTATAATTAAATTTAATCATTAGTTCAGATTCTGTTTCTTTCCTCGAGGCTACAAACATTAGACTAAAAATATACTCTATCATCGCGTTTGAGTGAGGAAGTGAAATATCAAAACAGCAAATTTTGAAAAAATTTGGAGATCTATGGCTCTTAAAATAATAAACCCATTGCTGATCAATTTTAATGTTTAAAATTTAGTGGTGGGTTTTCCAAATATGATGACAACTTTACAAATTCTTCTAACAGTAGGTCAATATCTACACCAATGGCAAACTCATCAGTAATGTTTATGAAATCGTCTAATTTAGGGTTTGTTTTCAAATCCATCGCCCCAGACATACAAAAGATGGCGCTTGTAAATATTACGACGGAATGACCGATAATTTGATAGCATATTAATAATATTTTGATATCTATTCAATGTAAATTAGGAGATTTTTGAAAAATAAGGAGGTTTATAGCTTAGTTTAAAAAGCGGGAGGGAGTGTGAGAAATCGGGAGACTCCCGCCTATATCGGGAGGTATGGCAACCCTAACTTAACTTGTTATAACCGAAAACATCAATTACTTTTTTAGCTCCTTTTACTGAATCTGACACCATAGATATAATACAAAACATTAAATCAAAAAGAACTCAAGATATATATGAAATTAATACCTATTTATTAAAAAACTGCCCCCAAAATATTGTTGTTCCTATTACTGAATTGATAAACTGTTGTTTAGCTGAAGGTACCTTTCCAGCGATATTTTTAAAACTTCCAAAGTTTTACCATGCCACAAAAAAAGAGATGACTCAGTACCTGAAAATTTTCGCCAAATACATATTTTACCATATTTTTCTCAAATACTTGAAAGTGTTATTGTATAACAAATTGTGCATTTCTTTGAAAACAACAACCTGTTTTCTGCGGAACAATATGGTTTTAGACATGGGAGAACAACTACAGATACCATGCTGGCTTTAATGAATAACATTCAGAAGTCTTTAGAAAACAAATCACAATGCGTAGCTATATTCTCTGATCTGTCTAAAGCATTTGACTGTGTAAGTCACACATTGTTAATCAACAAACTAGATAAATATGCCATCAGAGGCATTGCAAATAAGATGATTGCTTCTTATTTGCAAAACAGACAACAAAGTGTATAGGTATTACAGAAATAAACTTAGTAAACCTTTATTAATGAAAAGAGGTGTTCCACAAGGATCCGTACTAGGCCCTCTATTATTTTTAATATATACCAATGAACTTCCATCATATATGAATTCAAATAATGCCGAATTACTAACTACCATGTATGCATCAGATGATACCAATTTTTCATATCACTGCAATAACACATCTGACATAGTTATCAAAAACACTAAGATTATGACTGAAGCTAAACAATGGTTTGATAGCAACGAATTATTTTTAAATCACAATAAAACTGAAACATGTGTCTTCAGGTTGAACCAAACTACTAGTGAAACAATGAACACTAAATTTCTCGGTATATATTTTGACACACAACTTACATAGAACTATCAAATAAATAACTTATGCAACAAGTTGGCAAAATTCACGTTTGCTCTATGTAGAATATCAAATATAGTTAATACACAAGCAGCAATAACTACTTATTATGGTTTATTCCATTCCAATTTAACATATGGGATTCTAACTTGGAGAAATGCTAGCTTTACTTCACTACAAAAACTTTTTATCTTGCAAAAATCAGTAGCTCGCTCTATTCTACGGGTAAATTATTATGAACCATGCCGACCACTATTTAAGCAACTTAGCATAATGACCCTGTTTTTGCGAATAGTATTTGAAAACTTTCTAGCCATAAAAAATAATTTGGGAAACTTCACATGTCACTCACATACAATACCAGAGGGAAAGATCAGCTAATCCAAACGAGAACTAGGATAAACAAGTCCCGAACAATAGGCATTTCATTCTATAATGCACTTCCGTCCCACATCCGTAATCTACCAAGAAAAAAAGTTAAACATCAAATTAAAAAGATCTTACTGGACATGTGTCTATAGAACACTAACGATTATTTTGTAAGAGTGGAACATGTCACTTATGTTTTTAATATTGTATTTTTTTATATATTTTTTATTACTGTTACCATCCATGATCTTTTAAAATCCTATTTTATTTTAAATTTTATACTAGCTGTATGTTAATGTATGTAAAATGTGGTGTATTTTACCATTTATGTTTACTGACGACTATGTACTAGTATATTATACGTAACAAGAGTTGTAACCCATATTACGCACGAAGTGAAAAAGTTTAAATTTCACGAGTGCGTAATGGGCTTACAACTCGTGCAACGTACTATACTTTTTCTACGCCCACTTAAAACATTCTCAAAAAGGATTTAATGGTAGGCTTATGTTGCCAATCCATAAATTTTCGATAGGTAATTTCGTACCTTTCTTTGGATTTTAGCGGTAATAAATTATGTGTGGCAGCTTGAGCTTTTTCTAAAATCTCCGGTGGAGTTCTCATAATTTCATCACTTTCACTGCTAACAAACATATTCGTAGATACAGTTGAGAAAATGTTCGGATACAATCATATTTCGTTACAAAAAATGACAATATAAATGGCATGACGTCCATAGCATGCTAAGAAAACGCGACATATTAGAAATATTGTATAATATGTTGCCGACATTTAGGGGCATCACTCTTTTAATCCAAAATGTATCTGGCCAACGCTAAAAGTTTTTATGATTTTTAAATGACTAAATTTATGTAAATAGACCAAATAAAGTCGCATGTAAACAAAAATTTGATTGCAATTTGATTAAACCAAGAAATTTAAGTTTTCTTATCAAAACGCACATGTATGTTATGAGATCTCATTAGGTGCATGTTATTGTTAAATGTCATTTACAAGGAATGTTGATAGTGCGATTTTTAACGTTTACTGACATGGGCATAGAAAAAGATGTTTATATATGTATTACTGAGAATAAAATATTTCTATTTCAACCTGCATATCAAGTAAATTACGATTATTATGATAAATATATTATTTTTAGATAAGTGAAGAGATTTTACAATAAAAAATAATAAAAGAACAAAAAGAAATATTTATTTTATTTAATATTCTCTACATTCCAACAAAATATATTCAATTATGAAAACTAGTGACTCAACGACCCTATACATACATACAAACACAAAAATAATTTATAATACATAAAATAAATTAACAAATTATCATGTATCACACAGTTAAAGTGCCATATGTACTAAAAGCATAATCAATACTCAATAATTTGCCATTAAGAAAATGTGTGGTGATGGGATCAATGTATTTATTATTTTCGCCATTATCATGAGTCCTACTAATATTCCATATCCTTATCACTCCATCTATAGTTCCCGCACATATTTCACTTCCATCAGACTTCCAAATCACTTTTAATATTGGAGCATCCTTACACTTTAATTCAATAACAACTTTGGACGTCAACAGGTCCCACACTCTGATAGACTTGTCTTCACTAGCACTAGCTAGTAGTTTGCCACATGGACTGAATGCTAAGCTGTACACCATACCCTTACTTGCATGCAAGAGCCTTAGAGAGCTAGCCTTATTTATACACCACAATCTAATATTTCTATCTGCAGATCCTGTTGCTAAATATAGACAATTAGGATGAAATTCTACACATGTTACTGCTTGTGAATGTCCACAGAATATCCTGAGTATTTTTCCTTTTTTTATTTCCCACAGTCTTGCTGTACCATCCATTGATCCAGTGGCTACATAAGCCCCATTTCCACTAATTTTAACATAGTAAACAGCACCTAAATGACCAGTACATTTTTTTAATAAAGTCAAAGTTTCTAAACTATAAATACATAATGTTCCATCTGCAGAACCTGAAACTAGCATTTGATTATCAGGTGATAAATCAACACTATAAATATGGTTTGAATGGTGTACAAATTTCATGTAGGCATTGTGATTTATATTGTATAAAGAGTTCAAAGGATGTACAGGCATTAAATAAAGTACATTGTGTTGTGCAAATACCAGTAAACCACACTGTCTTTTTAATAACCCACAGGACACTAAATGTTTGTTATTTGTTATATTTATATTAAAAATTGCAGTCTCTTCACGTTTCAATTCCCTCAAACAATTTAAAAACTTTTGATGCTTATAGTCTTTTTTGTATTCAATTGAAGGCATTGTTACACGTTTTTGTTTCTTAGTAATATCATTAACTTGAAAATCGAAATAAGTCTGTAGTACTTGAAGAAACCCAATATGACAATTTTCTAAGACAAATACCTTCAGGTTCTTTAACGAATTGGATTGTAGCTTCAACACTATTCTACTGCTTCTAAATCTCTCTTTAAATTTAGATAGGTCCTTATCTTTAGTTTCATTGGCAAAAATTAAGTCTATTATAGTATTATCACAATTATTTTTATTTATAGAGGGCACATGACACTTAAAAAACGAAGCTGCTCTATCTGCTTGTTCGTATCGCAGAATTTCCATATACAGGTGGCAAAATAAAGGGGCCACAATGCACTCGATATCGTGAAACCGATTTTTAAACTTGGTTTGGTCCCTTAACCACAATAAGAATTTTGTAAAGTTCTGGTCGATGACTATTGGATCACAGCGGATGTTTAATATGGAGTTTGATCTTCCCACAGACGTTTCCACTAAAGAATGAGTTAACCGCTGTCTTTTTGTTACCATAAAAGTTTGCAGAGTATAGTAGTTTCTTCGCTGAAGATATAATGCAACGGCATTTTTCACCTCACGTTTCTTACGTTTAATTTTGGTACTTTTGCGTTTTACTTCATCCATTATAAGCATAACAAAATAAAAAATAACATATACATTATGGTTTACGGTAATTTAATTCCGTTTTACAGTTTAAACTAACTGCAATTTTTTACATATTTTATATTGAGGTTAGGAGTTATTATATTAGACACACACATGCAGTGTTGCCAGACAAAAGATATTAAAATAGCCAGAATCTAATGACGAAAATCACCAGCAGTAGGGAGGATAACATTAACTAGATCAACTTGCCTTTTTCTATGCTTCTGTTTTTCCTAGCTTTAATTCCACCAATAAGATTTTTATTGCATATTTTGCAATTCAATTTTACTGTTATTGTTTGGTGTTTCGGCCTCCATTTTTCTTAGATCCTCTTCTTGGAGAAGGTGGGCATAGGTTGCCCTGGGGTGCTATTTTCAAAGTCGAGAGAATTCATTTCTCTCGAGAGAAATGTCATACGTCAACGTAAAACAGTATTTTTAGGGTCCTAAGGGCCAGTGTAAACTCACTGATTGTTTCTCACGGTTTATTTAGAGATAATTAATATCCTCCTAAGAATTTTAATCCTCGAGGCCTTTAAAAACAGCCTTTCCACATTGACGTATGACATTTCTGATGAGAATCTTGAGAGAAATGAGTACTCACACGGTTTGAAAATAGGTCCCCTGTCCGTCTTCCTAGGGTTCCGAGATAGCGTGAAGGTCGGCAACATCAAGTTTATTTATTCCCCAGTATATCTACCATTTATTCAACACGTATATAACGTGTCGAGTTCGCACATAAGAATCCCTATGATGATTGATGTTGACATAGATTTTTTTGTAAAATCGCAAGATCTAATGATAAATCACAAGATCTGACAACGCTGCATACATGACACATTTTTTTCATTTAACGTGCCGTGCCATCTATCAGTTTATATAGCAAGTAATAGAAGCAGAAATAGAAACTATTGTTTACAGTTTACTTTGAAATACAGTTAAAAAAATCTACCTTTATTAATAGATGGCACCAAGCGCAATATATCGGCGTTGTATGAAGATATCGGTCATAAACCGATTTAGGCACGATACGGAACACCAAAAACCAAAACAAACCGTAATTTTTTGTATCATGCTAGGTCTGTTCTGGTTTTGAGAAATAACGATCCACAACTGTCGGGCTCATGCGCAGTAGATAAAAAGTGTTCTGGTTTTTCTGGGACTACTTCGGATCTCTCAGTCCAGTGTTCTGGTTTCGTATCCGAAATAATCCGTGATTGTTGTAAACAGTCAAAAAGTGTTCATGCTTGGGAGTGTGGATCGACTCGGACTGTTTTGACCGCGCATGCGTTTTTGAAGTGTTATGAATATTGTATTGGCTTTTTAGACCATACGAAACGTATACAATCCCAAATTGTTTATTTATATGTGGACGAATGTCTCTTGTTCTTGTTTTATTTGTAAATTAAAGCAATTTTAGAATTATTAATTTTTTAATATTCTGTTTTTATTTATTCCATTGAAATGTGATGATAATGATAAACATATACATGCAAATGTTATTTGAAGCTGAGCTTTCAAAAGGAACTTCATTATTATAATAAACAATAAACAAAACACCTTTATGACGTGTTCTGGTTTTCCAAGAATTTCAAACAGTCGGGGATTTTTTGCCTTTACGCATACGGTCCGGCGCAGTTTCAAAACAGTTTTCATTTTGAGAACCAGAACAAACCTTATGGGTTGTTGATGGGTTCATGACAGTTCATGATTATTTATGACGTTTTGGCGTAGACAAAAATGACAAAATTGGCATTGGAGGTTATTTAAATTATTTACGAATGTTCATTAAATAAACAAAAATAATTGTTTTTAAAAGCATGCTATGAGTAACACTGATATCGATATAATACTAAGGAGACTTTCGGGCAGATTTAATAAAATATTCTACGACAGAGAATTTGTTGGTTGCATCCAGGAAGATTTTAAAGTTATCTTAAAGAACAGGAGTAGATGTTGGTAAGTTTGTTAAATTTGCAAGTATTATTTAATCGATTGCGCTATACAAGCACGCGGAAAAAGGAATTTATGTTGTGCAGTGAAAGAGAAAGTAGAATCTTCAGACAGTGACTTCACCTATTATGTAAAGAGCAAATCTTTTGGTTTTACTTTCATTGGCGTTTACTTTTAGTGTTGTTGTCTTTCCTCTATTGGGTCCGAACTATTTTAAAGCAGTCCAATACCAAGCAGAAATATTTGACCTTGAGGTAATTCTCTTGGGAAGTAATAGGAGAAGTTTTATTGCAGTATGTGACAAAAAGTTTTTAATGTAAGTACTTACTTTTAACTTAAATATGTATACTCAATAAATTGTTGGGGAGCAATGCAGTTTTGCATTACTACCTAATCAAGAATTAACACAACTCATTTGACTTAGTTTAAGTTACTTCAATAATTTCCACATATTTTAAACCAAAACCATTCATTGATTAATACTGAAATCATAGGCAATTAATAATTATTCAAGTATCACACTCACATCTTATCAACTATATTAGCACACCTTGTTCAAGATTATTTTTTAAAAAACCTTGCACATGCATAATATTTTTGATATACCATAAGGTTGGCTCAAAATTCGAAACTGCTATGTATACCTACTATGAACCATAATGCAATACTACTAATTTTACTCTTCTACTGTATTCAATATTTCCATGTCCATATCCAGTATAATTTAAATAACAATGTCAGGAACTTTACCATAAACTCAAAAATTAAAGTTAATTTATGTATTTTACTTATATGTTACAAAATCAAATAAGTTTGAGTGAAATGTGTAATGAAGCTAACTCACCTATACTCCAGTTTTTAAAAAGAATATATTTACCCCAGCTTTTTTAGAAAAAATGTCAAAATAGTCTAATTTATGGCAAATGGAGTAGAACTACTAAATAAAAAATCTGATGTGTCCAACACATGACTTTCCTATCTAGTTATTATAGGGTTTTTCTGATTATTTTGTACAACCTATTGCAGCACCTCTATAAATGTTTAGAGGATAAACTAAATATATACATTTTCCACATACATCTACCTCAAAACATGTTTCTATAGATATTCATTGAAAACGAAAATACTGAAAAATTTAAATTTAGCACTTTTTCTCCAATTTTTCCATTGCGGTCCATTTTAGAAAAATCATGTATTAACAAAAATTATAGAGATCGAAATCGCAAACAACTTTTAATTCAACAATTTTCTTAAAAATCAGAATTTTGCACATTTTGTCAAATTTCTCGAATACGGGCCATTTCAGGAAAATTTGACATAAGGCAAAAATTATAGATAATAATATTAGAAGGAACTTTTATTTGAACAATTTTCTTCTCCAAACATAAATAACAGATATATTCCATAAAATATAAAAACGGCCTCCCATAAAGTACCCCCCCAGATGTTCCGACTTTGTCCAAAATCTAATCATTTCGCGTCAGGCCGAAATAAAACTTAAGTTTAAAATTTAATGTTTTTTTCTTTATGTCTGAGTTTTCTTCAAAATTCGAAATTTACACATTTTTTCAAATATCTCGAATACAGTCCATTTTAGAGAAATTATGTATAGGATAAAAATTATAGAGAATTATATTACAAACAACTTTTATTTAAACAATTTTTATAAAAAATTATTTTTTTTACATTTTGTCAAATTTCTCGAATACGGATCATTTTAGGAAAATTTTGTATAGAACAAAAAATATTGATAATAAAATTGTAAGTAACTTTGATTTGAAGAATTTTCTTCTGCAAACGTAAATAACAGATATATTCCCTAAAATATAAATATGATCACCTATAAAGTACCCCCCCCCCCCAGATGTTCCGACTCTGCCCAAAATCTAATCAGTTCATTGGACGCCGGAATAAAGCTTAAGTTTAAAATTTGGTGTTTTTCTTTGTATTGGTTCATGAGTTATGGTGGATACAGACACACACACAGACATCATCCTGAAAATACTCAAAACGGATTCAGGTCGAAAAAAATCATGATTCCTATACTTTCCTTATCTGTATACAGATAGGAAAGTAAAAATGAAGGGTACAAAGGTAAAAAGTTGAATGCCACAAAAAATATAGATTAGGAGAAAAATTATTTAAAAATTGTATGTACTCAAAATAAGTCAATTTAATCAAACGCTGTAACGTTGGCCGGACCCATCGAAATAAAAAAAATCTGATGTGTCCAACACATGACTTTCCTATCTAGTTATTATAGGCTTTTTCAGGTTATTTTGTTCAACCTATTGCAACACCTCTATAAATGTTTAGAGGATAAACTAAATATATACATTTTCCACATACATCTACCTCGAAACATTTTTCCATAGATATTCATTGAAAACGTAAATACTGAAAAATTTTAATACAGCACTTTTCCTACAATTTTTCCATTACGGTCCATTTTAGAAAAATCATGTTTAAACAAAAATTATAAAGATCGATATCGCAAGTAACTTTTAGTTCAACAATTTTCTTAAAAATCAGAATTTTGCACATTTTGTCAAATTTCTCGAATACGGACCATTTCAGGAAAATTTGGCATAAAACAAAAATTATAGATAATAATATTAGCAGTAACTTTTATTTGAAGAATTTTCTCCTCCAAACATAACAGATATATTCCATAAAATATAAAAACGGCCTCCCATAAAGTACCCCCCCAGATGTTCCGACTTTGTCCAAAATCTAATCATTTTACGTCAGGCCGAAATAAAACTTATGTTTAAAATTTAATGTTTTTTTCTTTATCCGTTTTTGAGTTTTCTTCAAAATTCGAAATTTGCACATTTTCTCAAATATCTCGAATACGGTCCATTTTAGAGAAATTATGTATAGGATAAAAAATATAGAGAATTATATTACAAACAACTTTTATTTGAACAATTTTTATAAAAAAAATTTTTTTTTTACATTTTGTCAAATTTCTCGAATACGGACCAGTTTAGGAAAATTTTGTATAGAACAAAAAATATTGATAATAAAATTGTAAGTAACGTAAAAATCCGTCGAAAACTCGAGGTCGAAAAAAATCATGACTCCTATATTTTCCTTATATCTATCTGTATACAGATAGAAAGTAAAAATGCTTGCAAGTTCAATAGTTTTAGTTGAGAATCATACATGAGAGCAATTAAACCATTTTTTGACTTTCGGTTCCAATTTTTCACCTATTTTTTTTTTGCACAAAAAATGCTTGCAATATCATCTTAGGTTCAGAAATATCACAATTAAGTTATATCCCAAATTTCGTTGAAAACAAAATATATATTCGGTCATGTGGCTAAAATCCCTACACTGGAAGTAGCAAAACCAGATGACAGAAAATGCTTGTAAATGATTTTTTCTTATTATAGACATCTAGAAGCATAAACATATTTCATAGCCAGCAAAAAATTAAAAATCCATCGATAAGCTACTTTACTTTGTTTCCCTGTACCCAACTACCAATATCAAGCATAAAAAACAACGTACGTAGGTGAATTTAAGATTACATTGGACAAATATTGAATATTTTCCATCAACTGGAAATTGCTATTATATTAGATCCTTTCATTTCTTTTTTGCTTCATTGCAGAAACAAACCTAAGGAGTGCGAGGAACAAATAATGCCAAGTAATGAACAAGAATGTGGAGTTGGCAGTATTTTAAAGAAAAAACGTCCTGAGAGGCAGCTTTATGTACCCCCAGCTCAAAGACGGTTACCTGCAACTGAGCAGTCTTCTCATAATGAACCAACAAGTAGTGTGAAACCAAAAAAGCAGCCATCTTGTAAAAGACGGGATTCTCAAAAAAAAATCACTAATTTAAATGAAAGTTGTAAACCAGAAAATAAACATAAATTAAATGAAGATCCTGCCAAAGAAATTGTTGAAAATAAAATACATGTGTGGTGGAAGTATGCATTATTTGATCCTTCAAACAGAAGGGACTACTTATTTTTTAAATCAACATTGAATTTCACACAATTGTTATGCAACATTGACTTCGATAGGAATAAATTTTTTGATGTAAAAAGAAAAAGTACGTTATATATTTTAAATAATGACTATGTTCTCTGGCAACCTAAATTTGATATATTTGTTAAAAAAAGCGGAAATTTCAATGTGAAAGCCATTCCTCCCAGCAACCTTTACGAATTATATACAAAGGTATGTATTAAAAACAATAACTTATAATGTTGATATCATAATCTACAACTCTAAGAGTTGAATTTAATTATTTTTGAATGTTTACTTAGATCTATGTTCAGGCACAAACTGTTTGGAAAATTTGAAAAGCATTTCTATGAACAAAATGACACTTTCTTTTATTTGGTATGCTCCTAAATATAGTGTATCCTTGGAATTCTGGAGTGCTACACATTCAATCAGAATGCGAATGGAGGATTCGTCCTCCTGAGGAATCTACACTCACTATCTTCTACTCTCCCTATCTTTTACCCACAATGCATACAATTAGGGTTTTTGTGGCCTTATTTACTACTTCTCATCTTTCATGTGTTCCAGAGAAGCTTGTTGTCCAGGTTTAGGCCTAGATATTTTACTTATTTCTTCCATTCTATATCTATCTTGTCAAATTTGACGGTTTTGAGATTGAATTTTCTTTTCCTAGAAAAAGCTACTAGTGTTGTATTGGTAGTTTTTGTCGAGTTTGCAAGTATTTTTAATTTTTTATTGACCAGAAGTTCTCAAATAACATGTGAATTGAAAAAGGTAAGTTGTACTTATTGAATATTGGGTGGATAGTAACATTCTCAGTGAGTAGTTTTTAGGATGCATATGTTACAGTATATGTCCCAATAGGTTGGACGAAATTTTAAATCATCTCAAAGAATGTATAATGTTGGTGACCACTTACCTGTAGAAGATGAGAAGGGAAGATGTTTTAAGTTTGCACAGCAAAAGAAGGAAAAGCTTATCAAAATATCATGTACAATGTGTAATTTATCTTTATGTATGGATTGTTTCACTTCGTTCTGTACCTAACTAAATCACTGATCAGACAAAACACAACTGGGTCATATATGTTCTACCTTTTTTTTTCTTGGTACAAAAAAATAAAATTCCTTGATGTTGTACTCTTTATGTGTTTTCTTTCATTATATCATGAAAAAACAAAATATTTCAAAAAACCAATATTATGGTATACGAGTGAATTCTACCTCACTATGGCTTCAATTAGAGGTTGAATGTGAGAATGTCTTATTGATGAAACCAGTCCAAGCCCAAGAATGACGTTATTAGTAAGCAAAAACACAGCAAAGTAAAGAAGACTGTGCCAAAATTATGATTATCCTTTTAGATTTAATTCAATGCCTGCCGAAGTATTAGCCAGAGGATTATTTATTTACTATACAGAAACTGTCTCTCGTACATTGACTTCTTTCTTGTTAATAATTTATGAAAATTATGTAAAATTACTCACTTTTTTAGGACGATATTTGCGAAAGGATGGCATTAACAGAAGATTCCTTTAAAACAGAAACATTTATAGAAGTTTTAGATAGATATTATGATATTTTATGCGATTTTGAGGTATACTGGTTAACAAAAAGTGGAACTCCAAATACATGCTTAGATATATGTTGTAAATGTTACTATTATTTAATAACTCAGGATATTTATAATGGATCAAATGTAATTAAAGAATGGATTAGTGATCTAGTAAGTAAATATTTTGACATTACACATTCATTTTACTACTTGATCTTGCATAGAATTGTAGTGTTGTTTTAAATAATTGGTTCTTCAATTTATTTTTAGTTGACTGATGATTACCAAGAACCAGAAAGAGTGCCTAAAAATGAAAGTTTGCCCGAAATAACTTATCCACCTCTAAAAGAAAAACCTGTACAACCAGAAAAGCCTTTACATCATGTAGAAAATCTTATACAATCAAATAAACCTGTGCATCTTGTAGAAACACCTCTACAACCAAAAAAACCTGTACATCACGAAGAAAATCCAGTACAACCTGAAGTGCATTTACAAAATAATAATTTATATTATTTAAAAAGTACCATGAATGTGATTGAGAATTCGAAAAAAGATTATTTGGAAGAAGAGAAGGAAATTATGAGAAAAACCAAAGAAAATATAAACAGAAAGTCCCGCCCGATTATAAAATATGTTGATGAAGGAAATGATGCTTTAAAAATTGACAAAGATGATGTTAGCAATTGGGAAGATTTATTTAATGACGAGGGGCAATTACAAGAAGATATGTTGAAACAAGTAAATATTTTATTTAATTGTTATGGGGATAAAAATCAAACACTCCATCCCAAAAAACTAGCATGGGTACTGTTGTCTGGGGCGTAACATAAACATGAAACTATAATACTCGACTCTATCCTATCTCCCTCTATATCGGTGTATCGGCTTCCTCTTTATAATTGTTTTTCTGTTACCTTTATATTTTTCTTCATTTACAATCTTTATTCAAACAAATTCCAATCTACGAATCCTCTATTTCAAACAAAATCCAACAACTCTTATATTTTTAAAAATCCCTTCTGACAATCAGTAATTCATCAATCTACATCAAAAGTCAATAAACAAAAACATCTACTACAATTTCTATACCCCACCCCGATATTTTTATCTCTCATTTTTACTTATATCTTCATCTTCCAGAAATTTCCTTATCATTTCACAAGTGAGACATCATTGAAGGACCTTTCAAACAAGGTGTCACTCAATCCCACTTTGTGTTTAAGATTTTAGAGATGTTCAAGGGATTAAAGATAGAGGTTTGGAAATTAGGGTTTCCCCCTCAACAAATAAATTATAATCTTCAATCGATATTTTTAATGACATTTAGGACCCTTAACTTGAACCGTTTCGTTTTCGTTGGTCCACCCTGTATATTATTTGTATCATTTGCAAAATTTTGTTGTTCTATGAATAAACTTCTATCTATGAACAATAAAAATTAAATTTTAAAAACCAACTAGGAAATTTGAGGTAAGTATATATTGTTTTTTTTTATATTTACTATATTACTAAAGCGTTTTAAATACGTCTCATTTAATTCCTTATCGACCAGAGTGTTTCATTCATTACTCAACTTTAGTTGGCATTGCTTATCTGCCGACATCGAACCATTGAAGTAAATCTGGCTAGTGGTTACTTGCCCTGCAACTTAGTTGAAACCAGATAAAATTTATTTTCTTTGAGTTAAATGCTATTTTTTTTAAACATTGTGTGACACCTGGTTTTGCGTTTTATTTATTTTATTTGGAATTATGTTAATTTTTTAAAATTGCCAGCCTGTTTTTTGTTCCTCCTAGTTTTCTAACTTAGTACTACAAGCGACCATTGATTTTGCTTACTTAGAACAGATGACGACTCCATTTTCACCCCTTCAATATTTTTCTCTTCGTAACAAACATTAATGTATACTAGTGAATGTGTTGCCGTCGATAATTATATTAGAGACTGTAATTGAGAACCATCTGTTTGTTGCTGAAGAGTCCTAATAAGGACGAAACTGGTCAAAGAATAACGTTCTCCTTAGTGAGCAAAATCAAAAGTAGAGTATTGAAAATTAATTTCTATCTCTGCTGTCTTTCCTTTGGATGTAATTCAATACGTGTTAAGATATTAGCCAAAGGAGTAGTTTTCCGAAGGAAAACGATCGCTATTTTGTAACACATGGCTTTGCGTTTTATTTATTTTATTTTTGCTATTTTTTTATGTTAGTTTGTCTCTTTACGTCGACTTTTTCTGTGTATGGTCGTAAAAAATACAGAGAAAATGAAAGTGTAGTGGATACAGAACATAGTTGTTTTTTTACAATTGAATATATTTGTATTTTTTAGTTATACATTTAGGATAATCCTGAAGATCTTAGTTTTACAATTATTGTAATAACCCAAAAATCTTTGAAGCACTTCCTTGAACATTCATTGCATTGTTTTTGCACTGTTAACGTTTCTTATGATGAGAAGAAAATATTCTTCCTATTTTAAGAACAAACAAAAATACTGGGAGTGTCCACAAATGAGCAGGTCTCCTCGAAAAGTATTTAAAGTAATTATTTGATGGCATAATTTTTTATTTAGATTGTTCATAAAGTGGGAAACGATGTAACGATTATAAAGGCAAAGGAAAATTACTCAGATTACTACACGAAACCTGTAAATATTGAAGAATTGGAGCACATGGTGGAGCTGTATGATTTTCCACCTACGTTAGAGACCCATGATTTAATACATGCATTTAGTGATATTAAAAGTGATGCTATGTATGTTAAATGGGTCGACGATACACATGCTATTCTTGTTCTTGGCTCATCTTTGCAAGGTAAGTTGAAAGCTTAAGACGATAAGTTTATTATACTGTAAAATATCCGCATTTTTTCTCGAAAACCAGCAACTTTGAGTTTCAAACAAAAGCAAATAATTTACTTAAAAGATATTTAAAATTATAGTCTAAATACTTTGTGAAATCAACAGAAATCTATACTAGTTTTCAATGATAATATGGGTTTTGCTGGGTTTTCCCATATTTCTTAGCAAATGCACCACTATATCGATTTTTAAGTCACCCCAATTATCCTGGCTTCTGACTTATACCATACAATTTTATATGTATTTTTTTCTGTATAATATTGTTCCTGGCATTATTAAATATTATTATTAAGATATGCAGTGGCGTAAAACACGTTTTTTTATTTGGCTCTGAAAATTTGAAACATTTCACTCTATATTTATTAATATTTTTTATAAGATTTTTTTTGTACCTGTTACCTGTAAAAGGGCTCCGATTTCAAGATAGCAAGTATGCATATGTTCTTAACTACCTTACACTATTTATTCTCAAAATAAATAAATATAGGAGCTCTGGGATTTGGATTATTCATTTGAGGTTTTTCATATCCTACCCTCTTTTTATATTTTGTGGTATATGCAACTTTGCATCTTGGTTAATTTTCATTTTAGCTCAAAAGGCTATAAACATCGAGAACCCACTGATAAAAGTTCGACCCATGACGGCAGCCAGCAAATTATCCCTTTCTACTGCCTACAAGCACGGTTTGAAACCTGCCATGAAACGACCACCGACAAACTTACAAACTGCTAGGAGACTGATTACAACCCATCTGGGAACCAAGAGTGGGATTAGTAAAGAGACGAGTGCGAAAGAAAGGAACGATTTAAAAGCAGCTAGAGGTAAGAGAAGTATATATATTCATACAACCCTAAGTTTTTAAAACAAAATATTAATTCGATACTCTTAAAATGCATAAATAATCTCTAAATTCTCTAAAACTGTTAGAAACACAAATCCACAACGTAAATTTATAATATACATTCTATAGTGACCCCAAATTCTCTACTGATGGATACGTCATCAACCATAAGTCAAGGTTTCTTATGAGACAATTCTGTCCTCTAGTATATAGTCATTGCATAATAATAAATCAGAATCTGGAACTAATTTCTCGTATCAAGTGCTATAGAAATTCAGATACTGCCATTTTCTGTTGATATTTCTATTTATTAATATTATATTTCCTATTTTTAGAAATGAAAAAACTAGTCAAGAAAAATGAGCAAGATGCTTGGGAAGGTAATCTCAGATCATCAATGAGCTAAAAGTATCGGAACATGTTACCACTTTGTTTAATAAAATTGTCGATTTGGAAAAATAGTCACTTTCAGTTGATAATTTATTTTAGTTTAAACAGCTATTATTCTTCAAATTATATTTTAATTATAATTATTTTTTTTAAATGTCGAAAGTTCTCTCAGGTACAAAAATGAACATGGGCCAGTCTCTAAGACCCAATGCTTTAGCGTTATTATATCTATTACTACATTGATGGCTTGCTAGTTTTCTAGATGGCCGATAAGTGAATTTAAGGATATGTATTCATGGGGTCATGGCATTTTGCCTCTTGGGTGCATGGTTTTTGTTTTTCATTTTCTAACAGCTAAAACAGAATGAAAACAAAAATAAATATTTGCATTGGGTAAACTGACATCTTCGTGGACATGCCGCTCTTGAAAACTTAAGCTGATCAAGATAATTTTTACCATGCTCTCGATTTTCAGCATTTTTTTAATGTAAATAATTTTGAGTATGATTAAAAATAGTACGTTTACATTTAATAAGGTGGTAACTATGTTCAGGTCAAAATCAACGAAAATTAAAGTGTTTTGTCTTCAGTCAAATGGGTCCAAATCCAAAAGTAATCTATTACCTATTTACAACTATTGTGCCTTATATTTTTTCTCTAATTATCTATTTATTTACATAATTCATTTTTATGTTATTTTATTCATAGTGAATTTATTACCATGTGTTATATTTTAAGTATTTAAATATTTTTACTGTCTATTATATCGTCTTAAATAAAATTTTAAAATTTAAATGTGAGAATATTTTTTATTAGAATAAGATTAAGAAACACATGAAGGATTTGGAATTTATCGTCGCTTTAAAAGAATTAATTAGAACATGATCATTGTGACTAAATCGGCATCCTAGTCCTTTACCCTTGACTTGGATTCCAGTTTTTCTTCTTGTGTGATGTGGCTAAAGCATTGGACGATGCATTTGCGTAAAAAAGTGACTATGGATGTCATTGAATTTGTAATAAAACTGATTATTTTTTAATACAGACATACTAAAAGAGTGAGTTTGTAGATCTGCAAATATGGCGGCAACTTTGCAGATCTGCAAATATGGTGGACTTACAATCCATTACTATGTTTAAAAACTCGATAATCTGACACCACGAACTGTATTCAATCAAAAGGAACAAGAGTTCATGGTTATTAAAGTAAAAATTGATAATTTGCAAGTTTGTAGGATGTTCTAACCTCCTTAAGGGTGGATTTGGATTTAGTGTTGTTGGGGGTAATAAATCACAATAAATTGCGAATTTGCAGATATTTTTTGGAATACGAAAACTTGATACTTGCATCTGTAAATCCGCCATATTTGCAAAGTTACCGCCATATTTGCAGATCTGCAAAGATACCGCCATATTTGCGCAGTTGCAGACGTTCTGTAATCTCACCCCTAAGTTTTTCAATTCGAAAAATCAACTTACATTATTTCTATTTAATATGCAGCTAAACTAAATGGTTTAGTAGTAATTAACAAATAAATAAAATTAATTAAAAATAGTACGCCAGTGGAAAATGTGATAACATGCTATAAATTGACAGTGTGGAGTCCAGGGGCACGTTCAGAATTAACTAAGGTTCTTTCGTTCGTTGTTCGTGTAGTGTCGACCAGTGTAAATTATACCATTTACACCACCTTTATTTACCTAGTTTACTTCCTTCTTATTTCTGATTCACATGTCGAGTTTAATTAATTCCTGCTAAATAGTTGGTGAAGAAAATATCCACCAGTGGACACCACAACGCCGACAGGAAGGTGTAGTGGATCTTACACCGGGCCAAACAAAGGTATGCATCGACCTTGATAATAAACTGGATGGCTATATGACATAAACCCTATTCCTAATTTCTAAGCCGACATGGGTGAAAAAAACGGTCGGTGCGCATGAAAATTTGGACACCAGACTGTCAATTTCGAGCATTCTACGTCACGTTTCCCACAGGCGTACTACGATAAGTTATATTATTTTTAATAACGCATAAATATTATTATTGGAACATTTATTTCAGCTGCGTATTAATCAAAAATAATTTTTAAGTGATTTTCTTAAATTAAAAGGTGTCGTAGTTGAATTTAATAAATGTTAAGTTTAATTTTGATGTTCCATTTTAGTGCATTTTTATAGGCATGTGTGGGTGCCAGAGTGTCAAATATCACCTCGCTATGTAGCTTGATGTTGTTGATCGGCTTTGTTCTTTCAGTTTAATATATAGTTCAGTCTATACTGGGGTGTTATTTTAATGAGCACTGGCGGGTCAATATGGCCGCTCGCAAAACGAAAACTTTAAGCAATCTATATAACTATATAGCATTGACCCTGTCAAAGTCAGCAGGTTCGCAGGGTTGCCATATCACTTCCCACAGGTAGCAATTTGACAGGTAGTTGGAATGGCTTTTACGCGATTGAGCTATCCTCAGCGCAGTTAATGGTGGCGAATACATTTTGACGTTCAGCGCCACCTTGTAAAACAAAATAGCATAATAGATTTGAATAAGACTTTCTATCTCTAATGGAATCTCTATGCAATTTAGTACATTTTCAACACATTTTCTGGTAACAGTGGTAAACTCATTGGGTCATTGGTACATCTGCAAAATTGTCCGCGGCAGCACTGGTTGTACAGTACGTTCATTCACCTTTTAGAAAAAGGAAATTTAGTAGGATTACTTACCTAAATAATTAAGTGAGTGATTGTTATTACCTAAGTGTTAAAGGATTACCGAGTTCGGGATCAAATAAAATAAAGGTATGTTAATGATCTCGTTTAACCTTTATTATTTTTCTTAAAATCAGATCAAATTGACTGCACAGTACAAATATTATCATTCTGAATGTTTATACTAAAGAATTTGTGCTAATCTAATATTAAAAGCTAATAGGTATAACGTCCCCGAAATATTTTTGAGTGCACTAAATTCCTAGGTATATGGGACCTATTTGTAGGTATGTGATATGTGATAAATATAATGTGATGTGCAAGATATCAAGGTCGTATAACATTTGTTGAAGTTGAAGAATGTCAAAAACAAACTAACTACTAACTACTGAAAGGTGTAGAGTGAGTTTACTGTAAATAAAATTAATGTAACATGAAATTTAATAATTCATAGTGTTTCGATATTATAGGTACAACCTGTGAAGTTTGTGCAGAAATAAAATACTTAAATAAAAGAAAGTTAACTGTTCTACAATATTTGTAACGCCCTGTTTTATATATTTGTTATTTATAATCACCAGAAAATAGGATTCTAAATAGAAAAGTTCTAGTAGGTATGTCTATTGTTCATTATTTTCATTAATATTTTTAAGGTTAAATTAATGTATGGTAATATTTACATTATTTTTAGTATACCTATTGTGTTAAAAAAAAGTTAAATCTGTTAAAAACATGTTTATATTTTGCTCTAACATATCAAATAAGTGAAATTCGTAATATGACTTATTAAACATTCAGTAGGTAGAGAGATTTTCATATGAAAATCATTAGTAAATTTAATTTTCAAGCCACAGTGTTGAAATTAGTACAAGAGTTAATTTATGAAAGTATGTTACAATTTATATATATTACAAAAAAAAGCAATTAATTAGTACAATTAAGAAATTTAATTTGTGTTTACATTAAATTTAATTAAATTAAGATGTAGGTTTGTGTTATGATTTTTATTTTAAATTTCATAAAAAAATGTTTTACCTGCTTGTTATATACTAGTTTAAATTCAGCATTAAGACGTATATATAAATAGGAATTTTTAAACAAGTAAGTAGTGTATCCCTAAAAAGAGTGATATATGAATTTGCCAGGCCTAATCATTAAAAACAATTTGTATTGTCAAATTAAATCAGAAAATTAAAGTTTGAGTTGTTACATAAAGTGCACAGTTAAAACAAACCTATAACCAGTGGCTGCTCATGGCCAAAATATTGGGGGTTTACAATGACAGAATATAGATCTCAGCACAGATTTAGGTAAACAAAAACTTTCAGTGTAAATCTATATTCTGTTATTGTGAACCCCCAATATTTTGGCCACAAGCCGCCACTGCCTATAACACATAAATTGTTGGGATTATTAGAGCTTGGAACAATTTCACAAAAAAATATTGCTCGAAGAGTGGATTTGCTAAAATACACATACAATAGCATAATTGCCATCCTTTTTACAAAATTGTTATGCAGTCAAGCAACAAATACCAATTAATCATGTCTTAACTCATTTTTGTTTATTTTATGCATGTAGACACCTCATATTTTCACTTTTCTGTCTTATCATAGTTTTTATAATGATTATCTAATCTTCCAATAAGTATCTACAAATATAACATATTGAATTATAAATCACCTGAAATTGGTGATTATTGAAGCTACTGATGATTTTTGTTTTGTGTCCAATTTTATAAAATGATGTCTGAATAATAAACTAAATATTACCAGATATGTTAGTGTAGTTAAAAAAAAACAAGAAATTAACCAAATTTAATTTTTTTTTTGAAGAGTAAACTTTGGAAACATTTAGAATTGTATCATTAGAATATGATACAGATGATACCACTTCAAAATCCATATTTTTTTTCTTTTATTGTGCATAACTTAGTGTTTATTAAAAATTCTACAAAAAAACAAATTTTCGTAACTATAGTAAGTAGTATTCAAACCAATTTCACCCAAAAACTTTCTCATTCACACAGGAACAATCAAACTAAGATGAATTAACATAAATTAATAAATATCTTTATGTGTATCAAGGGTCTCACAATATACAGTAAATTTCACATTCATATAGATTTACATTGTAGTAGAAAATAAAAACAACAATCATTTGTGAACTAGGTTGACTTATAGGTAAAAAATTAATGTATTCTTTAATATTGTCAGGTAATCTGGCCAAACAACAGGGAAATAATATTTACTCAAAAATAGTAATATATACACAATTTAACACGTTAACAACCATGTGCAACAATATGGTGCACATGGTAGTTTTTTCCCCCAGACAATGTGACCATATTTGGGTACAGTGGATTGCCATTTTCTAAGTAATGTGGGCCTGCGAAGGATGCAGTTATATGGTTTTTAAATGTGTTGAATAATTGATTTGGTCCCTGAGAAACAAAAAGTTGTCTTGGGTTGGGTTTTTTAGTATTTTTTTGCTATAGTACTTATAAAACTTGCTTATTTGCCAATTGCTTACTATATCAAGAAACTTTTTACTATTGTATAGTTTTACTATTGTATAGTTTTACTATTGTATAGTTTTACTATTGTATAGTTTTACTATTGTATAGTTTTACTATTGTATAGTTTTACTATTGTATAGTTTTACTATTGTATAATTTTACTATTGTATAGTTTTACTATTGTATAGTTTTACTATTGTATAGTTTTACTATTGTATAGTTTTACTATTGTATAGTTTTACTATTGTATAGTTTTACTATTGTATAGTTTTACTATTGTATAGTTTTACTATTGTATAGTTTTACTATTGTATAGTTTTACTATTGTATAGTTTTACTATTGTATAGTTTTACTATTGTATAGTTTTACTATTGTATAGTTTTACTATTGTATAGTTTTACTATTGCACAGTTTTACTATTGCATAGTTTTACTATTGCATAGTTTTACTATTGCATAGTTTTACTATTGAATAGTTTTATTATTTTATAGTTTTACTATTGTATAGTTTTACTATTGAATGGTTTTACTATTGTATAGTTTTACTATTGTATAATTTTACTATTGTACAGTTTTACTATTGTATAGATTTACTATTGTATAGTTTTTCTATTGTATAGTTTTACTATTGTATAGTTTTACTATTGTATAGTTTTACTATTATATAGTTTTACTATTGTATAGTTTTACTATTGAATAGTTTTACTATTGTATAGTTTTACTATTGTATAGTTTTACTATTGTATAGTTTTACTATTGTATAGTTTTACCATTGTATAGTTTTACTATTGCATAGTTTTACTATTGCATAGTTTTACTATTGAATAGTTTTATTATTTTATAGTTTTACTATTGTATAGTTTTACTATTTTATAGTTTTACTATTGTATAGTTTTACTATTGTATAGTTTTACTATTGTATAGTTTTACTATTGTATAGTTTTACTATTGTATAGTTTTACTATTGTATAGTTTTACTATTGTATAATTTTACTATTGTACAGTTTTACTATTGTATAGATTTACTATTGTATAGTTTTTCTATTGTATAGTTTTACTATTGTATAGTTTTACTATTGTATAGTTTTACTATTGTATAGTTTTACTATTGAATAGTTTTACTATTGAATAGTTTTACTATTGAATAGTTTTACTATTGTATAGTATTACTATTGTTTAGTTTTACTATTGTATGGTTTTACCATTGTATAGTTTTACTATTGTATAGTTTTACTATTGCATAGTTTTACTATTGCATAGTTTTACTATTGCATAGTTTTACTATTGCATAGTTTTACTATTGAATAGTTTTATTATTTTATAGTTTTACTATTGTATAGTTTTACTATTTTATAGTTTTACTATTGTATAGTTTTACTATTGTATAGTTTTACTATTGTATAGTTTTACTATTGTATAGTTTTACTATTGTATAGTTTTACTATTGTATAGTTTTACTATTGTATAGTTTTACTATTGTATAATTTTACTATTGTACAGTTTTACTATTGTATAGATTTACTATTGTATAGTTTTTCTATTGTATAGTTTTACTATTGTATAGTTTTACTATTGTATAGTTTTACTATTGTATAGTTTTACTATTGTATAGTTTTACTATTGAATAGTTTTACTATTGAATAGTTTTACTATTGTATAGTATTACTATTGTTTAGTTTTACTATTGTATGGTTTTACCATTGTATAGTTTTACTACTGTATAGTTTTACTATTGCATAGTTTTACTATTGCATAGTTTTACTATTGTATAATTTTACTACTGTATAGTTTTATTACTGCATAGTTTTACTACTGTATAGTTTTACTTCTGTATAGTTTTACTACTGTGTAGTTTTATAGTCCCTCACCTAACTGCAAAAAGTGACGTCGTGTTTTTTGCTTGCTATTTGAAGTTAGGTACAGCATGTAATATGTCTGTGGGAGCTGTCTTGTAACCTGTCAAATTTAAAATAATGTTTATTTTCGATGGATTTTTTGCTGAAAATGAAATAATTTGCTTCCAGACGTCTATAACAATAAAAAATCCATTTGCAAGCATTTTTTTGTTGTCCAGTTTTGCTACTTTCGGTGTAAGTGTAGGAATTTCCCTACTTAGATAGTTAAAATATTATTTCCCTTTCTTTTAGTAATAATTTCATGACATATTCATAAACCGTTATCAGAATTGGCTAATATGCACAATTTTAGACAAATATTTTACATTTTGTTACAGGGGGAGTGTCACATATAACAATTCCTGATAATTAAATTGTCATATTTTTTTTGACAAAACTTTTTACTAATTCTAATTAGAAAACATTATGTAATCATCATTTTTATGTAAAACTGTTTAACTAAACTTGAATCATTTGAACCGTTTTCGAGAAAAACAATTGAGTTTTGTAAAGGGATTTCATACAACCCCCTGGGTTTCTGATTTTGGGGACGATATGAAATCCTTAATTTTTGCAAATGAAATACCTGTACAAAATGAACTCTGGGGAAAATACAAGATTCGGCCAATATTTTTTTAATGCCAAAATCTTTGATCAAAACAAATTGGAAAAGGTGT